AAAAATGGACACAAATCAGACGTCAAGAATTATAACATTCAAAAACCAGTCGGAGAACACTTCAACCTCCCTGGACACTCAATTACAGACCTAAAAGTTGCAGTTCTTTAACAAAAAAAACTTCAAAAACAGATTCCAATGAGAAACTGCAGAATTGGAATTAATTTGCAAATTGGACACCATTAAATTAGGCTTGAATAAAGCCTGGGAGTGGATGGGTTATTACACAGACTAAAAACTGTTTCCTCATACTAATTTTCCCTCTACTGTTACTCTCATCTTTTTGTCAACTGTTTGAAATGGGCCATCCTGATTATAACTACAAAAGTTTTTTTTCTCCTGCTAATAGCCCACCTTAATTGATTAGTCTCCCCCATTTTTTTCATGCTCTCTCTCCCTCTGTGTGTGTGTGTGTGTGTGTGTATGTGTGTGTATATATATATATATATAAAATCTTCCTACTGTATTTTCCCACTGCATGCATCTGATGAAGTGGGTTTTAGCCCACGAAAGCTTATGCCCAAATAAATTTTAGTCTCTAAGGTGCCACGAGTACGCCTCGTTTTTTTTGTCATATAGCATATTTTTGATATAGGTCAGAAATAAATAAAAGACACATTTGCATTTTGTTCTCCAGTACTTTTTTTTTTTCTAGATGCACATATATATAGGTGATTTCATTGCTCTGGAAAAGTGGTGATAGTATCTTTGCGTTTTGTCCTTGGTAGAGAGAGAAAGTATTCGAACTGTATCCATTTACATTACACCTCTACCTCGATATAACGCTGTTCTTGGGAGCCAAAAAATCTTACCACATTATATGTGAAACCGGGTTATATCGAACTTGCTTTGATCCGCCGAAGTGTGCAGTTCCGTCCCCCCGGGGGAATTGCTTTACCGCGTTATATCAGAATTTGTGTTATATCAGGTCGCGTTATATCGGGGTAGAGGTGCATATCAGTTGTTGCGTGGGGATGTAAATGTGATGTTTCTATCCATTGAATAAACTGCAGGTCTGTGCCCAGGGCATTGACTTGGTTTTTAATGCCACCATACCCTGTCAAATGCCTTTTCCTCCACACTAATAAGAGAAGTTGAGAGGGTTCTTCTTGAACAGGGCCCAGTATAACATTCTTAACCTAATAGCCACTATATATAAATCCTACTTAGTTTCCCTTGTAGCTTGGCAATATTTTGATGTTGATCAGACATACCTTGACCATATTCTTTGTGTGTAAGTTTAATAAAGAAATGTTATGAGCATGCACTAAGGTCCTTTCCAGATTTAGAAATAAGTTACTGCAAACTGTTGAAAAGAAGGTGGTATTGATTCCCCTTTTAATACCACATTAAGCACATCTGTGAGAGGCCTATCAGTCTGTCTTTACATGTTTATAATTTATTGGTATGTTTATAGTAGCCCAAGGTTCTGCTGATTTTCATACTTCTTATGGTGAAGACTGTTTCCTTTCTGCTCAAATATCTCATTATAAAAAAATTGAAATATGAGAGGGTTGGCTTTTTTCATATAATTTGCAAGTTTTTCTAATATCTGGTTTATTAGTCTCTAAAGATCTTTTATAAGAGGTTTAAAAAGCCCTCTCTGTTAATTTTGGGAGGATAAGTATTTGCTTCCCTGTATTCCAGACTGGATGGATAATTTAGTCAGATGGCATTCCTTTTAGTTTTCTAATCCTAGATTATTCCTTTTATTCACTTCCTCACATATACCTGCTGGTTCTTTGTGTATTATCTGTTAGTAAAATGTTTAGCTTGCCCCATAAATTGGTTGAGAATCTTGTTTAAAGCAGTCACTTAATGACAAGATTCTGGTTTTTTAATCTCCAGAATTTTGTGATGAATTAGTAATGTCACTTTTTTTTCTACCAAAGATCAATTAATTCATAGAGCTATCATCATTTCACTTGAATTCTAGAGAAGGCATCTTTATATGCTGTTTATTAACATATTTGAAATTTCTTGTGAAATGATTCTTCTCTGGATCTTTTAATAGGCAATAATAACAACCTCTTAGTTTTCTGCAGAATGATTTTCAGCAAGGTTAAATTTCAGTTTGGTTGAAGTGTGATCTGGACACACATTACATACGACTGCTTGCAGCTTTTTGGAGGGTAAATTTAATGCTAATCATTAACCCTATCTTTGTGTAAAGTTTTTGGATGATGGTAAAATTGAGCACTCCTTTATTTGAATTATGGCTTTTCTCTAAATCTCATTGTTTATAAACAAATGGAATTTGTATTCAGTCTCTAGAATTTAATACACATATCCTCCTTGCAAGAAGTCTAATATTCTAAACTATTTTGTTTTAAAAAAAATTGTGTATTGGTAATGGATACGATTTGAGTTTATTTTAAATTTCTTCCATTTTTAAGTAGCTACTGATTGAGACCTACCAAGAGTATATCCTAGTTTGGTTTAATTAGTAGAAATTTAATTTCTTTTGAAAAGAGAATACCTACTTTGTTTCAAAAATGTTGGTTGAGTCATAAAAGCGCCACAACAACCATATTCCTCTGACGTTCTGTCTCTCTCTCTCTCTCTCTCTCTACTTAACTAACTAACTAACTACTACT